GGGGGGGACTGGGATATACTGGGAAGGACTGAGATGTGGATGGGGATGGACTGGGAGGGACTGGGGAGGACTAGGATGTGAATGGGAAGGACTGGGATGGGGAGGGGGATGGACTGGGGGGGACTGGGATATACTGGGAAGGACTGGGATAGGGACTGGGATGGACTGGGGGGGACTGGGATGGACTGGGGATGGGGAAGGGGGTGGACTAGGGGGGACTGGGATATACTGGGAAGGACTGGGATAGGGACTGGGATGGACTGGGGGGGACTGGGATGGACTGGGGATGGGGAAGGGGGTGGACTAGGGGGGACTGGGATATACTGGGAAGGACTGGGATAGGGACTGGGATGGACTGGGGGGGACTGGGATGGACTGGGGATGGGGAAGGGGGTGGACTAGGGGGGACTGGGATATACTGGGAAGGACTGGGATGGGGAAAGGGATGGACTGGGGAGGACTGGGGGTAGTGGGAGAGCAACTGGGATGTACTGGGAGGGACTGGGATGGAAACTGGGACATACCGGGAGGGGCTGGGATGGGAACTGGAGGGACTGGGAGGGAGAGGATGGAATCTCTGGGAAACTGGGACAGAGATTGGGAGGGACTGGGGGTGACTGGGAAACACTGGGATGGACTGGGATGGAGACTGGAATGGATGGAGTGGAGATGGGAGGTTACTGGGAGGAACTGGGGTGGTCTGGGATGGACTGGGATGGAGACTGGGAGAAAGTGAGATGGACTGGGATGGACTGGGATGGAGACTGGGAGGAAGTGAGATGGACTGGGATGGACTGGGAGGGACTGAGTTGGATGGGGCAGAGCTGGGGGCTTACTGGGATGGACTGGGCCATACTGGGATGGGAGCTGGGATGGACTGGGATGGACTGGGCCATACTAGGATGGGAACTGGGATGTACTGGGATGCAGTGGGCCATACTGGGATGGGAACTGGGATGGACTGGGCCCTACTGGGATGGGAACTGGGATGTACTGGGATGCAGTGGACCATACTGGGATGGGAACTGGGATGGACTGGGCCATACTGGGATGGGAACTGGGATGGACTGGGATGCAGTGGACCATACTGGGATGGGAACTGGGATGGACTGGGCCATACTGAAATGGACTGGGATGCACTGGTCAATACTGGGATGAACTGGGCTGTACTGGGATGGGAACTAGGATGAACTGGGAGGGAGTGGGCCATACTGGGATGGACTGGGATGGGAACTAGGATGAACTGGGATGGGAACTGGGATGGACTGGGAGGGAGTGGGCCATACTGGGATGGACTGGGATGGGAACTAGGATGAACTGGGATGGGAACTGGGATGGACTGGGATGGGAACTGGGATGCACTGGGCCCTCCTGGGAGGGGGACTGGGAGGGAGTGGGCCATACTGGGATGGACTGGGATGGGAACTGGGATGCACTGGGCCCTCCTGGGAGGGGGACTGGGAGGGAGTGGGCCATACTGGGATGGACTGGGATGGGAA